TTTTCCAGAAAACCAGGTCTTCAAGAGTCAAGGGGATGAATCCTTTTAGAGTTTTTATCTACACTATGAGTCCTACCTATGAGCAGAGTATGAGCTCAAACAGAGGGTATCAGTTGGTGAGCTTCCCTCGTAAGTCATTAAGAGTGCTTAAATTCATATAAAATTTAAACATATTTAGCAAACATATTGTGCATAACGTTATTAATTTTAATTCTTTTAATTCTAGAAAAAAATTCCATTACATTCGTCAATTTTTATATTTAGATTAGTCGATTTGGGTGATAAGAACGAAACCAGGTTGAAATTACCAGAGGAAATAGCAGCTGAAGAAGATTCTGCTAAACGGGTGGTTGACGACACTTCAGTAACCGGATCTTATGCACCAAAGGTATATGTTGGACGTAACGTACCAACAGAATAAGATAAATAGCGATTATTTTACAGAACTCATTGTGTATAAATTTGGATGGCTAAGTCATCTCCTGTGTAGTGTTTCGATGCGATTCACGATATGGTTATATAAAACAAATGAAAAATTTCTTTTTTTGTGTTTCACATTAGATTTATGATGAAACTCAAGATTCTGAAAGTAACAACATAATATTGAAATTGAAGAACTGTAGGTGTAGCACATGTTACTTTAAATATTTAAAAAACTTATTCTTTTAAATTCTGTCTATTTCTAGGGTTTCGATGTAGAATGGCCGGTACGTAATTTTCAATTAATTTATCCTTGGTTATTTTATAAATGACATATTGATGCCCCGCGAAAATTCAAAATGTAGACGTATTAAGTAAAATGTTATGAAAATTCATTTTTTACAGCCTTCTCATAGTCTTAGTCGACTCTCTCCTGAAATATACACACGGTTGCGAGTGAGAAAATGAATCTGTTACGCAAACACACGAGCGTAGCATCTAGAAATTCAGCTAGACTATGATGTTTTAAACGGAATTTTGCTTCCTTAACGAATTCCTTAGCTAGCCAACCGTAGTTGGCTTATTCGGGTTTTTCCATCCGGCTCATATTCTTATTCTAAGAATTTTAATACACTAGAAGCCCGTACAGAAAAGATCATCTCATGAAAATGCAAAACGCTTTGGAGAGAAGTAGTTTGAAGCGTAATCACTGAAATGAGCAATAACTATGGTGGTAATGATTCAAGAGAATATAGTGGCAAAAGTCCATGTTTCAGTCGTACCATGGGGAATTATGAAAGATCCAACGCCTTGTCTTGAAAGAAAAAAGACAAAAACGCAAACGTTTTTCGTAGTGATATGAATCAGAAAAATTAAAGCCTCATTAATAAAATATTTTAACAAAAATATCAACTCATAACGAATTATTCATAGGTTCAGGATCACTACTTTTCACACTAGCCAAAACCAGACCTCTTATACGAAACATTCTGAATTCGTTCGGAATATTTTCAGAAACAACAAACATTTCTAGACAAAAAAAGAAAGAGGTCCATAACACGATGACATCGAACAGCATTAAGTCGTGAAAGGTCAAAAGCAGCAGCAGCAGCAGCAACAAGAAAATAATGAAAATATATTTTTGACACTTTTCACGAGTTAAATGCTGTTTCGAAACACCGTGTTATGCAGCTACTTCTTTTTTTGTCTAGAAATGTTTGTAGTTTCTAAAAATATTCCGAACGAATTCAGAATGTTCCATTTTAGGGTTCCGGCGTTCTATGAATCCAGTTTTTGAGAAAATCTTTATGCATACAACTCTTGATTGAACACTCATCTAGATATTCAATTTGTTTTAGTTATCAGAATCGAGCAGAAAAATCAAAGACAAACTGTTTCTGTAACCCTGAATATATTAACTTCGGTTTCTCTGTTGGTACTCTACCCCTCCCCTATAATAGAAGACTACTCTTGTCTTCTATTTTGGATAACGCCGTAAAAACGTGGTCCGAGACGATCTCTGGGGCACTACACTATTTTGTCATAGAGCAAGTCAGCAAATATACAACGATAGAAAAAAGAGCGAATAATGGCACAATAACTTTCTAAAAGTTTAGAGGAAAGAAAAAAAGAAACTCTTAGCTTATTACACGATTGTATCTGATGGGGCCCTACCGTTGTATGGAATCGTTACTGTGCCGTTATTCTCTCACACTTTGACAGAAACTGGCTTCGCTTAGGTTTACAGAACAAATGAATAGTTTCAGTTAACTTATGATTAAAATTCTAGAACTGAAATCTGTTGTTGATGGAAAAGACTCAACAAATAATGGTACACACAAAATTGAAAAATCAAAAGCACAAATTGACGATGACAAAAAGCCATTCTTTACAACCAACTCGAACCATTATTTTTCACATGAAAGTAGGCAACAGTAGGATCACAAGTCAGAACAAAATATTTAGTAATAAAGTCTTGGTTATAATACAAAATGTTCGATTTTGTACTGCCACTGTAAAGTTGAGGACATAAGTTTAGAGCAGTTCTATTTTCAACTTCTTTCATGGTAATAGCTGCAGCTAAAATCTGAAAAAAGATCTGAGTACTTCCTCCCCCATAATAGAAGACCACCTGGTCTTCTGTTTTATCCGGCAAGTCAAATTCTAAAGGATGGTCTTCTATTGCAGTCAAAGTTTGTCGCCTGCTAGTAGTTCAACTTGTAGGCATAGGATGTCTGGAAAACCGAGGCCTTCAAAAGCAGATCTCTGGATTTAATTGGAAATGTTTTCTACACAATTTGGCCTTATAGAGAAAATATTTCTAATCAAAATGAGACGTCTCCGAGTTCTCCACCACCTTTCTTCATTGAACTCCACTCAATTTACGAAATATTCTAAAACGTTAAGCGCACCACAAGTGGCCCGAATGACCTCGTGAGAAGGGCAGAATTAAAGCTTCAAAGTGTTAGAAATAGATTGCCCATATAAAAAAATGTTTATCGTAAAATAATGGTTAACCCCTGATGCAATTTATGCTAGAAGTCATTACAAGTCGCATCGTTATAGTGGCGCCACCTGCAAGTCTATCAAAATTAATATCTTCAGGAATTAACCAAAATTTTATGATAACTATTTTTTTATATGGTCAATCCGCAGCCCAATAGAGAAATTCATAACTTTTGAATGAAGCAACAGGGATCCAAATCCTTTTACAGTTTTTGCTAGGTTCCTGTATAGGTTCTATGAGCAAAAAATTCTTGAAATCGGACGTTGACATCTGAAAGGGTTCCCTCGTAAGTTGTTTGGAAAACATTTCAAATCAAATCCGAAGACTTGCTTTTCCAAAGATCCTACATCTACAAGTTTTGATGGAGTTTTCGTACACACCTGATAGATGACTCTTTCTGATACTCAGATCTTTTCTCAGATTAGCTCCAGCTATTACCATTGATGAAAGAAGTCGAAAATAGAAGTGCTCTAACCTTATGTCCCAAACTTTATGTTTCTATCACTGTAGCAATCAAAAAAGTATATCCTCACTGTAAAAGTCAATCTTGAAATTTCATAATTTCTTCGTTTCCCCGAATAGCCTTATGAACACCTTTTCTAAGGAGAGTTTCATTGGGTAAGATGCATCTTGAAAGCAGCTTTTGATTCAAATATGGTAAGTATGGGATTATTTGTATGAAAATAGATCAATTTTACTGTCAGAAAACGTGACGGGACATCTTCAATCTAAAATCAAACTTTCTCCAGTGATATAAAAGACGATGCCTCAATTTTTGGGCTCGACGGTAGAGCTTTACTGAATGCACATTTAGTGTAGAAACTTTTGCTTCAGAATGAAAGAATCATCTTCTGAAGCCAAAACAAATTTCAAACGCGGCGCGGAATTTTAGAGCAAAAACAACGTTTAAAAATGAGTATTTTTCACTTTTCTCTAAAACAAAATTCTTTTGAGATTTTTTTCTATTACCAGTGAAAATTGTATCAGTCGAGCAAGCTTTTGGCTGTTTTACAGTTAAGTTTCATTCAAATATGTCAGACAGAAAAGAACCACCTTGTGAAGTGTAACGGGACATTTTTAACTTTTCGTAGTCCGCACATTTTAAGACCGAGCACGTGTAAGCCAAAAGTTTTTTGGGAATGAGTTACTATGGTCTTGTAACCGAGACTGTCCCCCTTCAATTCATAAAAATAGTTCTGAAAATCCTTTCAAGCTAGAACGAAAATATGCACTTTATTTTAAAAATATTGCAACAGAATTAACACATGTTAATCCGTTTTTTCTGCAGCATATATACGGCGAGGTGTTAAGAGTAAAATAATACTTTTTTATTGAATTTTTATATATAGAAGAAGAGTTTTAAGCTGAGCGATGAACTTTGCTAGAACGGTACATATTTATTGCTATTCTTCCATAATTATTTTAGAGATTTATGACAAAAATTATACAAATGTACAATCTTATGCTAACGTGGGCTATAAAAGAAGCAAAAAGGTAAGACACTCATTAGAATTTAAATATTATATCTTATACATATCTCAATAGCCAAACGAATCTTTGAAGTCGGACGACGATGATGAGTCAGTCGACTCTATGGATACTACGCAACAGTATCATGTTGGGAAGGATTATTCTAATGCCCCGGCAAAAGTATTTGAGAAAGTGGAGAAATATGATGAGGGTAAGTTTTGTTATCATTTTTGTTCAATTAGTTTAAAGATGGATGAATGCATCTATTCATTGATATTTTCAGATTTTATTGATCGTACCAGAATACCAAGAATGCCCTGGCACGATGAAGGAGTTGTTGTATTAGGCGAATCAGCACGTGACCTAGCGCGACATTTTATCTCACGTTGGAATGTACATAAGGCACGTATATAAGTGATGGACGCTAATACTCTAAAAAGAGACGTGTGAATTTTCTGATAGAATCCAAACATTTCTCATTAGAGCCCTACTAGAGTAATCCTAAAAAAAATCTTCTAGAATTCTCATGAAATCAACAGAGCCAACTTTCGTCTGATTTCTCGGAATTCTTAAGCGAAATTCCAGTAGGATCTTAACATCTAAGCTTCTGCTGGGAAATCAGTAGACAATCTTAAATGTTAAAACTCTGAAGGAAATAAATAGAAAATGCGCAAGATTTTCTCTCGGATATTGCCGTGTTTGAACCGAGAAAGTCAGATTGCGTTATATGTTTTTTTCTAGCAAAGCACATGCTCGCGTAGGTGTTCCTAATTTGAACGAAAAAATACGTCATGAAGTTTACCCTTTATTTTACAGTGAATATTACCAGTACTAAACGCTGCTCCTTTAAAATAAACTTAGAGTACCGTATTTTCTTTGTATTTTTACAGAATTTTATTTTTTCTATTAGTTATTCAATCAAATGCTGATATGTACATAGTCATCTTTAGTTAGAAAAGCTAGTGTAGTTGTCCTATGTACTAAAAATCGACAATTAATCGTGCGCTTAATCGCGATTAATGGTCAATTTTTCGGTGATTTTCAGGTGATTTTAGCGATTAATTGACAATATACTAGGTTCGAACCCATCTTAGGAAATGCATATTTTTGTCTGTTTTTTCATTGTTTGTTATGTATAATGACAATGTACGTCACTCAGCAACGGTCTTAGCACCAGCTCAAGTCGTGGCTCTGCCGACGAGTCGATTTCAGACATTTCCCAGATACCAGCTGTTTACTGGACTCCTCGGCTTAAAGCTGTAAGAGACCATAGGGAAGACTCTTGACAACTACGTTTTACTTTTAAAATAAAAAGATGATCTAAACAGAATTGAATTTCTCATTGAAATCGTGTTTCTTATATACATACTTTACGGCAAAATAAAACGATGATTAAGAATAACCATTTAATCGCTTAAAATCAACAATTAATAGCAATTAATTAGCGATTTTTTTCAAAATCGCGATTAATTGTTAAAAATAACACGATTTCGTCGACATGGGTTATTACTCATTTAATAGCATTTTTACTATTAGTTAGCAAAGAACAGATGGCTGGCTGCTCATATTCTCATATGTTTTACTTTTTCTCATTAGTTTGAAAAGTGTCGAAATAATACAAAATATCCGTATATATTACCAAAAGCCTATGAAGATGGTCAAGAATTATATATTAATGATTGGAATCATTATCTCGATTTAAATCCGATTCAAGTAAATGCACAAGTAAGTATACTGAATTTTTATATCAATTTTCAAATACGTTTTAGATTCATGAAATCTATTTAATGATTTTTGAATTTTGTTGACAAATGAAAGGCTTTTGTTAATGAAAACGAATTTAACGTGCGGTGCAAAAAAGTAACCGGATCGCAAACGATAATACGTAGCTAAGAATCCTTTCCGATGTGCTAGAGTACTTGACTTTTTTGTACAGCACGCTATAAAACGAGTGATATTTGCTAATGCAGATAATATCTTCTACTATCCATCCCAAAATACAGGGCCGGTGGGCATTTTTTGAATAACTTTTGATAGGAATGAGATAGAGACCTGCGATGTTCGCTGTTCAATAGCCAAGACTTGAGCAGAACTTTTCACAAG